ATCGTTAAGGACATGCAATGGTGCAGTCTTGAGAAGTAGTGAAGGTGGAAAGCTTGCGTGAAGGATCTATACTAGGTATTATCTGTTTGATTTAGCAGTGGTAAGCTTAAGAAACATATCCAAGATTAGAATTATTGGTGTTCGGTATTCGGTTATGACTTCGATAAAATTAGGAAAGGGATGAAAGTGGAAAAGACAACAATAGTACAATTGCCTCTGCGGTCCTAACTTTACGCGTTATGATCACCTTGCCAGTTCTCTAATGTGTGAAAAAAGAACGTGCATACTCAAGCATAAATATAAAACTGGCTCCCAGCCATTCTCTTATATGACAATCACACAACATTGCTTTTCCGCAAATGATTGTGGACGAGAGTCGCACATTCCATGAATTAGTGAGAAGAAAATATACCCATCACGATGTCGCTTTTGCTTTGTTCCTCTAAGAACATCCACCACCTGAATATGTCAAATCCATAAAGATAACTATCTTAATTACAACACGATGTAGAAAGATAAAATGCAGATAAGGTGGGAGTGATTGCATTACCTTTGGAGGCTCTTTACCTCCTTGGAAGAGGTACTTTACATCAAGAAGTTGCGGATCAATTTTAGCAGGTGCCTTATACTTGAAACACACAATATAAATTTCGGCTGATGCTGAACGACTAGCTTGTGGTTTATCCACTTCAACCTTCTCAAAGAGCTGTACAGAACATTCATGGGTGAGAAAGTGCTTACATTGAATAAAAATTGTTAGCCACATTTGTTGGAAAAAATATTACCTGTCTAAGACAGAAAAGGACGGCAGTATAATCTTGAGATCTGAAAACCTACCAGACAACAATAGACATAACATCATTTCATTCAGTGCATCCCCATTATAAGGTTAACTACACTAGTTACTGAGGCTAAATCAAGTGCAAAACATTTCAGGCAAAATGCATTATAGTATATCGTAACAAACTTTAAAACCTAATAAAGCATTGTCTTACCAATACATAGCCAGTGTTTGAGACCCATTAAAATGCATTTTTCTGTCACTTTCCCTTCTTTCTACAGTAATTCTTAATTTTTTAATCTTTGTCAGGAAAGTGTCAGCCGGTCAAGGAAAGAGCCGTTGCAAAATAGGACCATTATGCCCTCCACTTTATTGGACAATTTACAATTCCACCATCAACTACTTTTTCCCCCATTGAAATCCACATGGGCTTTTTTGGAAAGTTAATTTACACAATTTATTACCACATTGAAATGCGCATAGTAGGTACTCTCTTTCAGAGAATTGGTTACTTTCATCTGATAATTGTACGAAATGTTGAAAAATTTGAGGCAAAAAAATTGGAAAAACGGGGGCCAAACACACGCATAATAGTATATTATAACATCATCACTTGTTATCTTGAAACCATTCAGAGAACCAAAATTGTACTAAATGGGCATTAAAAAGTAATTCATACAAAGTTCTGCCTAGGAACCCAAAATTTATTAGTGGAAAATGACACTGAACCCAAAAATATAAGCAATTATGTAAATAGAATGCAATGGAATTCATGTGACGATTAGGCACCCAAAATTTATTAGTGGAAAATGACAATGAACACAAAAAAATACTAACACTTGTGTAATATAATGCAATCGGAGCCGTTTGTTTATTCGTGTGATAGAGTACCATCCCCATTTTTGGGGCACAGGATAAAGTTTAAAAGCCACTAAATCAAATTTCTTCAACTTTAGTACTTGTAACTGTTATTGTGTCATATGCACAATTAACTATTCTCAGTTATATTAATTATTATGCCGCATAAGAGCCAATGTTAATTTTGCTAAAAAAATCAAATTCAAGTTATTATATACAAATAATAGATATTTGAAATTATACATATAACATGTACCTTGGTGACAAAAGTTCCTTTGGGAGCCAAAAGCTCCGTAGCAAGCTTAACCGAGTCAATCACCAGAGCATTCTGACCGGTAGCCTCCCTAACCCAAGCACCACCAACATTAGGCGAGCCGTCGTGCAGCACCAAGTCGAAAGCCCTGCATCCATTCTCTGCCATGAGTTTCTTAACCAACGCTCTACACTTGGGCCGGGTGATATCCTCCTGTACAGAGATGGTGCCGCGGATTGGTCGAATTGGGTCGAGGTCGACACCGATTACTAAACTTCCGACGGGCATCTTCTCGACGGCCACTTGCATCCATCCACCCGGTGCGGCGCAGAGGTCAAGCACGGAATTAGCCGAACGAAGAAAACCGAACTTTGAATCAAGTTGAACCAGCTTCCATGCAGCTCGAGATCTATAGCCATGCTCTTTTGCCAAATAGTAGTACTTATCCAAACGATGTTTTCCCTTTACCTTCCCCATTAGCGTGATTCCGTAGGGCTTGAGGCGAACTTCAAAATCTGAAGTCATAGCAGACAATTCATTTAAAAGAGTTTAACGGAACTAAATTTGTTAGCTTAAATTCAACAATAAAGCAACAAGTAAAAATAAAATATTCAAAATATTTATGTTTCAATCAAATAACAATGCGAAGATGCTCTAACCGATCACTTAAATATAACTCGTCTGACAGTTTTTGAGACAAAAATATCACTTAATTAATTTCCAGTTTCCATACATAAGGTTCGGCCTTGGGGGGAGGGTGTTGTGTTGGCATGGACACACAGTTCATCAATATGGAAGGCGGGTAACTAATGAGGACATATAAAGACTTCAGCGGATGAAAATAGAAGTGTACATTTAAAAGGACATTACATCATGAGGAGATGAATTTAGTTCTTAAATGAAACTTTTTCTATCATGAAATTTTAGCTCCACGATTCTTCCATAACGTGCATCATGACCCGGGTAACCGAGACAGACATTAGCAACATGGACAAAATTTAGTAGACAGTAGACATGTTAATTAGTGAAATTTTAATACGAGGACTTTTACAGAGTTCATGACATAAGATGGATATCAGCAGATGGTCTGGTGCAATGACTAAACAAAGAATACCAACTGTAACATATGTAAAGGTAAATCCATAACTGCAACTTTGAATTTTCATTATGGTTTATTCTGAAATCACACATCATCTGGTGCAAAACTCACTATAATGTGCATAATTAACTGAGAGCCCTTTAATATCAATGCGGGATTTTTTATTTTTCTCTTTATGAGAACCTTCTTAAGGGGAAGTTACTAGTTGACCTTTTAAAACAGAATCTCAAGCCCAGCAAGCACAATGAGAAACTCAAACGAGCTTCCATCTTTGCTAGGTGGTGTTGAGAGTAAAAATGCACAGCACTTATGAAAATAATCAACATATAGTTTCAACAATGTTGAGATTTTAAGATGAAACATCAATGCTCAAATTTATTGCTATGCCAAAAATTGGTTATAGACATGTCAGCAATTGTGATTAACAGAGTGACATCCAAAACACCCAAATCAAATAAGAAATTTAATATTCGAATTTTCTATTACAATTATAAAAAAAAGGCTAAAACATTTTAACAAATCTTAATTGCTTGTGTCAAGCATTCGAAAGTTTTATGCTGTTAGACGAATATTTGTAATACGAGATTTCATCATACGCAACAAACATCCAAATCTACTAATCAAGCTAATATCAGCAGCCACAAAAAATGCGATTTCCAATCAGATGTCAAGTAACTAATTTTTGAATCGAAATACAACACAAAATTTGACTGATTTCTCATCAATTTATACATCAAATAGTAGCAAAGACAAGTTATATACATATCCAAATTTGGTCTTGTCTTTAACCGACCTGAAACTTAAAGCAAAACGGAAAAATGGGACAAGAGTTTACCCGAAAAGGTTAACGATTTGATTTGGAACCAGCAGTGGGGGTGTGGCGGTGGAGAGCAGAAGGAAGAAGCCCTAATTTTTAGCTGGCTTGTCTTTTAGGTGTGGAGGGAAGTGTCGAATTAGGTTA